GTCAGAAAGTTCTTCCTGATGTTTAGTTGGAATCTCTCTTGTAACTTGAATCATGTATGATCTCTGAATCAAATTCTGTCATCTTCACCCCCCCCCTCCTCCCATATTTCTGGATAGCTGTTTGCTTTGTTTCTATTCTTCATGTATAATGCGTATCTGATCGTGCAGTTTATGCATTATTTTTTGACATTGTAAAGTGAGATTTTACATTACATAAACTGCTCCAATAGGTTGGGGAGGTGGCTTAATGACTGACACAAGAGTCAGCCAATCAGTGGTTTGCACAGCCCGTGTCAGGAATGTGCCCCCCCCAGAGCGGAAAGAAGAGTTAGATTCAGATTGAACTAAGTGAACGAAGAATCGACTCTGAAGATGAGAATGGCCTGACAGAAGCGAGAAAGGGCTGTCTGACTCCCCTTCATGGGGAAGACTTTTAGCTCTCAAGAAGGGAAAGAGTTGGAAGGCAGCCAGAGCGTTGCTAGGCAATCAGCAGATAAGCAGAGGTCTGGGTCTGTGTCGAGTGGCAGTGAGGAGGGGGCAGGCCAGCCTCTCAGTCCCCGTTCTAGGCGTCTGGATAAGATCAGATGGCAATGGAAGGGCAAGAGGGGAAAGGCAGGAGTCTGGCGTCCTTCCTGCTGCGGGAGGGGTGAAACTTCAGACTGACCAACAAACGTAAATGCAAGCAGGCGAGAAGCCAGGCTCTGGATGTGTCTTTTTGTAAATAAACGTACATAAACTTGCCAAGAGTCATTGCTTCTTATCAAGTCTTGCTTGCCTGCCAGAGATCAATGGTTACAGAAGAGTCTCTGCTGCTTTTCCAGCCTAGAATGGTGTGAGGAGAAAGTGAGAAACTGGGTTTGCAGTGCCTTTGTGCTTTCTGTGCCTGCATTGAGGCTGGGCAACCTCAAACCTTAAGGACTGACATGGGTTTACTATCAAGCATCTGATTATCTTATGAACTTCTCATTTCTTATGAAAGTCAGTGCAAACTTATATATTTAAAACTATCAAGTGTCTAATTAGTGCTATACCAAAACCCCTCCCATTGTAGCATCCTGTTCACAGGCCGTCTGTTTTTTTCTCGCAGGGACCTTTTGCAACAGGGGAGGTATACGGAGTGAATCACTTGGAAGGGAAAGAGTTTTGCCCTGCCCCCCAGTCTTCTACCAATGACGTAAGGGAGCCCCCCCCCCCCAGCTACATCTAAAACAGTAACATAAATTAAAATAAAATAAAATACAAAAGCAAATTAAAACAACCACCAGTTATTAAAAGAGAGCCATGTTTATAAGCAGAGAAGGGATCAAACAGGAATTAAAGGCTTGCCCAAAACGTGCCGTTTTCAGAATCTTTCTAAAAGTATTTGATTTGTAAAGCTAGCAACAATGCCATTTTTTTAGCCGATATGTTAAAGATTGCTATGGTTTCTTGCCTTGTGCAAGAAAGAATGGCCGACTGAAAGTGAGAAGCTTGGGGTCAAAATCCTAATGATGTTCTCCGGTGCCCTGATAATGAGTCAAGAAAAACAGAATCCTCTTTTGCAGAGGAATAAAGTTTTTGAAAAAATGGAGGGCAGATTTCAGCACGGCCCTTGTTTCAAAGATTAAGTACAGGACAAAAACAGTTGCCCAGAAAAACTAGACTATGGGAGTCTCCCTGGTCTGTCTTATGCAAGTAAGTCGGATTAAAGTAAGCTCTGGAACCAATTGGACAAAGCCTCTGGGATAGTGCCCATCAAGATCTATTGGCCTATGACAGCACAACTCATTCCCTGTTTTCCTTTAGCATCACGTTTGGCAATGTTTTTTTTACATACCCTCCAACATTTCCCTGATGAAAATAGGAACATCCTAATCCATAGAAATAGTAGTAGTAATTTTATTATTTATACCCTGCCCATCTGACTGGGTTGCCACAGCCACTCTGGGCAGCTTCCAACATATACAAAAACATAATAAGACATTAAACATTAAAGAACTTTCCTATACATGGCTGCCTTCAGGTATCTTCCAAGAATTGTATAGTAACTTATTACCTTGGCTGGGGATGGGGTTGCATAACTCTGTATCCTCCAATGAAAATAGGGATGTTCTACCATACCCTTCAGGGATGTGGGTGGCGCTGTGGGTTAAACCACAGAGCCTAGGACTTGCTGATCAGAAGGTTGGCGGTTCGAATCCCTGCGACGGGGTGAGCTCCCGTTGCTCGGTCCCTGCTCCTGCCAACCTAGCAGTTCGAAAGCACGTCAAAGTGCAAGTAGATAAATAGGTACCGCTCCGGTGGGAAGGTAAACGGCGTTTCCGTGTGCTGCTCTGGTTCGCCAGAAGCGGCTTAGTCCTGCTGGCCACATGACCCGGAAGCTGTACGCTGGCTCCCTCAGCCAATAAAGCGAGATGAGCGTCGCAACCCCAGAGTCGGCCATGACTGGACCTAATGGCCAGGGGTCCCCTTTACCCTTACCATACCCTTCAACATTTCTCCGATGAAAATAGCAACGTTATAAGGAAAAGCAGGGAATTCTGGGATCAGGACATCTTCTGTAAATCCAGGATTGTCCCTGAAAAATAGGGACAATTGGAGGGTCTGTGATTATCTTTATCTCTAAGTGGTAAGATTTCCAAAAAGCCTTTTTGCTTCTCCGATTGAATGTCTTGTGTTCACAAGTTATTGGGAGATGAGCCAGCATTCAGATGTGTTCTAGAATATGTCCCTCGAACAAAGAGGAGGTGGGAAAAGTGGGGACAGCAGTTCCAGAAGCAAAACTTCTGCATGCAGTACATAATTAAACTGCGGAACTTGGTCGGTCCCACAGGACACAATGATGCTTACCAACCTGAATAACTTAAAAAGAGGCAAATTAATGGATGAGAGGGCTATCGATGGCTACTAGCCATGATGGCTGTGCTCTGACTCTACAGTCAGAGTTAGGAATGCTTCTGAATACCAGTTTTGGAAACCACAGTTTCCCGTGGCATCTGTTTGGCCACTGTGAGAACAAGAAGATGGACTACATGGGCCATTGGGCAGATCCAGCACGCTCTGCTTATGTCCTTGTGTAAGAATAATTTAATAAAAGGGACAAGTTGGCTCCTGAAGTCCAGGTCAGAGCAGTCACACACATATTTCTAAACCTGAGGTCAGAGACACACCTTTCCATCAAGATAATATCTTTATCCTCCCAGCCATCATGGAGCCAGGATCTTAGAATCTTTTCTAGTAGGAGATCGTAGATAGATTCTTCATCGTCCCATAATGATAGAGACAGTCGATTCTTGTCCTGACACTCTTCTTGAATTAAGGCCAGGAGAAAAATTGTTTATCTGTGCTCTAAGCCCTGTGGTCTGCCCTCATTCACAAATTCTGTCATTTAAAAAAATATGTACTCTTATAGGGACCATGAAAATTGCTACCACTGCAACTAATAATACTAGAGAATTGAGAGACAGCGGGGATTGCCGTAGCTTTAACAAATATGCTTTATTCACCTATTTACACCTTCAGTCTGCATGGAAGGAGTCCCGATCTTACAGCATGGTCGTTTCAAGAGGGGCTTGCTGCCATGGAGTCTCTCCCAGCTACCCTTCAGCCAGCCTACCCAAGATGGATCCCAGATTTTCTTCCCCCTCCTTCTACCCAGCAACCCTTGCTCAAGACTCTCGTTTCCTGTCATCTCACACCCAGTTACCCTGACAACCTTCCACCACCACCACCACCCCAGTCTCTGTTCACACCCCAGGGCAAAGGGGGGAGACAGTTCTCTTGCATTACCAACGGCTCTCAATAGCCCTGTATTGTTTCTTAATGGCCCTAGCTTGGCCAGGTCGTTTTACATAGCCTAGGTCAGGAATTACTCTGCAGCTTGTAATTCTCCCTTCGTATCTCAAATAATCTTACCATTTAATAATTTCTAGGGATTAGCTGCCACCCCCATTCTATAACAATATTTACTTTCCTTGGCAGATCCAAGAGACTTTCATGAATTCTTCTATTGAAAGAGAGTTTATTTATTTATGGCACGCCCTGGCATTTCTAACCTGCCCTTCGCCATATGGTTCTAGAGCAGGGATACACACATAATTAAAACAACAAATAGCAACAAAGGTAAAATCACATAAATTTAAATAACCATTCATATAATTAGCATCGTGTGCTCTGTCACTGTTGGTGCATACACTATTTCAAACTGAATAGTGTATTATAATCTCACCACCTCCCAGGAGTGCCAACTTGATCCCACGACCGTGAGTGCCCAGGGCTGTGGGTGCCGTGCTGCGTGCATGGCCCTGGTACAAAAGTTGTGGGTGCCCGGCCCCTTCACGGGGAATTTTGTGGGTGCAGGAGCACCCAGGGCCCCCGGGATTTGGCACCTATGCCTCCTCCCCAAGGCCTGCTGAGAAAAAGTTAGTGCCAGACATATCAGAATGTTTTCAAACTTACTCTGTGTTCAAAACACATCAAATGCTTGCAAACATTTCACGATGATTTCTACAGGCATTTTTCAGGTTGCAGGTAGATATCCTTTAACTAGAATGTAAAGAGGAGTCCTTGATTTGAGACCCGGCTAATGCGTCAACTGACAGCCAAACTGCCTCTGCCGCAGGAAAATATATAGGCAGTGGCTATCGTTTTTGTTTGTTGCTGTTGATTTTTTTAAAAAAGCTCTTAAGAACAACCATTTAATGAGCTTAACAAAAGCAAAAGCAAAAAACCTTTAGGCAAAACCACAACATAAAATCTGGTTGTTCTAAGAACCAACTGAACATTTGCTGACATCTCATCCTAGTCCATCGTGTCAACGGCACTGAAAGGCATGTGTAAATGTTAGCAAACTCCTTTCTGGCTGAAACTCCAGGAAAACGTCTTGGAGTAGGATCCAAGCCTTGCAGAACATAGGAAGCTGCCTTATATCTGAGCCAACTATTTCATAGAATTATAGAATTGTAGAGTTGGAGGGTACCACGAGGATCATCTAGTCCATACCCTTGTGATGCAGGAATCTTTGGCCCAATGTGGAACTCAGACCCAGGACCCTGAAATTAAGAGCCTCATGCTCTACCGATTGAGCCATTGTACATGAAGACATCACCTTGCCAGAGACATCACCTTGCCAACAAAGGTCCGTATAGTTAAAGCCATGGTTTTCCCAGTAGTGATGTATGAAAGTGAGAGCTGGACCATAAAGAAGGCTGATTGCCGAAGAATTGATACTTTTGAATTATGGTGCTGGAAGAGACTCTTGAGAGTCCCATGGACTGCAAGAAGATCAAACCGATCCATTCTAAAGGAAATCAGCCCTGAGTGCTCACTGGAAGGGCAGATCCTGAAGCTGAGGCTCCATTACTTTGGCCACCTCATGAGAAGAGAAGACTCCCTGGAAAAGACCCTGGTGTTGAGAAAGATGGAGGGCACAAGGAGAAGGGGATGACAGAGGACGAGATGGTTGGACAGTGTTCTCAAAGCTACAAACATGAGTCTGACCAAACTGCAGGAGGCAGTGGAAGACAGAAGTGCCTGGCGTGCTCTGGTCCATGGGGTCACGAAGACTCGGACACGACTAAACAACTAAACAACAACAACATGAACTATTTGTCCATCTAGCAACAACTATTTCTTTGCCACCTGGTTTTAACTGGAGATGCCGGGGCATCTGCATTCAGACGCTCCATTACTGAACTACGGTCCATCCTAAACCAAACTGACCATGCAGGCTCCCAATGTGGTATCCAATGCAGAATTTGTCAGCCTTGGTTTCCGTAGATCAGACAGGTTTCTAGCCCTTAATATTGCTATGGCGCGCTAACAGTTTGGGCATGTGGGGACAAGTTAGGACTGCATTGGCATCAGCCCTCAGCAGAAGGTAGTCCGAGTGACTTGGAGTTGCTGGCACTGCAAGTCCCGGCAAGATTGTACGGCAGAGGAATGTGTAAGCGGGATCTAAGAAGCAGGTTTGCACAGATGTAAGGCGGCGAGGGTAATCTGAAGAAAAGGTCATTCACGCAAGCCGGAGCGAGAGCCAAGGGATTGGGGAAGGCGGAGAAGCAGCCAAGGCAAGTTGGCACACATACAAAGGGAGTCAAGGGAACGAGACAGACAAAGGCACAAGCTAGGTGTTGCTCAGGCAAAGATCCAGAGCTGACCCAGACGAGATGGCTGGTCAAAGGTTTCTTTCTTTTTTGCTGTCCGAGACAGATTGATTTTTTACTGCCCTCCCCTCGTCCCATACCTCATTGTGTGCTCAGCAGTAGAGAGGGAAAAGAAATTCGTTGTGTGCAGATTTTACCAGATTTACGCTTCCCAATCCAATACACAAAGGGAAGCTCTCCTTTGAATTTTGCACATCTCTGAATTTTGCGATGCAACTCTCTATTCGTTCATTTGTTCCTGTTTATCAGCTACTCTTTTTTTTCTAAGCATGAACTCAAGGAGACTTACAAAAACAAAGATCGAAAACAATAATAAAAACAACCGGAAATATAACAAAATGTGCAGATGAACAAATTCAACTCGGCCCCACCTGACTTAACAGTATGCAAAGAATATCAAACTCCAAAGGCCTTGGGGTATAAAAATGTTTTTATCTTGTGTCTAAAATCAGATAGTGACTGTGCAAGGTATGGGGAGAGCACCCCACAAGCAGGGAGCCACCACTGAGAAGACCTGTTCTCATGTCTCCACCCTCCAAATATTAATGAAAACATAAAGTCACATTCTCTTGTGGGAAAATTGCTTTCAGAACTGTCTACATTAAGGGGAAATGTGCAAAAAAATATTATATTATATTACATTATATTATATTATATTATATTATATTATATTATATTACATTACATTACATTACATTACATTACATTACATTATAAAATGCATGCACAAAAGTATGAATTTTCTTATGCACTTTTTTTAAAGTCACCAGTTTATGCAGAAATTGTCCGCCCCCCTTTCATGCCAATGTATGCAAAAACTGGTTGAACTGAACTTAAGAAAAGTGAAAAACTTGGAGAAGGCAAAAATAATTTATCCATCCCTACTCAGCAACACAAGGGACATGGGTAGCTCTGTGGTCTAAAGGTCGGCAGTTCGAATCCCCATGACAGGGGGAGCTCCCGTTGCTCAGTCCCTGCTCCCGCCAACCTAGCAGTTCAAAAGCACGTCAAAGTGCAAGTAGATAAATAGGTACCGCTCCAGCGGGAAGGTGAACGGCGTTTCCGTGCGCTGTTCTGGTTCGCCAGAAGCGGCTTAGTCATGCTGGCCACATGACCAGGAAGCTGTACGCCCGCTCCCGCAGCCAATAAAGCGAGTTGAGCGTGCAACCCCAGAGTCATCCGCGACTGGACCCTATAGTCAGGGGTCCCTTTACCTTACTCAGCAACACAGTCACAGCAAAATCAACTGGGAAGAAGTAGCACTACCCCTTCCTCATTCTAATCTATCCTGGGATGAATCAAATGATTCAGATAATCAGTTGTACGGTCTGTACCTTCTGCGCTCTGCACAGCTCAATTTTGCTATTTCTGTTTCCGAGACCCTGTTCCCTATGCCTGCCTTTTCCCGGTCTCCCCCGCCCCCTTCCTTGATTTGCTACTGCAACTCCTCACTCCCCCAAATCTAATGCACCTCAAAATCCCAGCACATGGAAACAGAATTTCCCGGTGGCAGACGTCAATATGATATAGTCTGATTGCACAGTTAGATGGAGGGTGTGTGTGGGAAAAATATATACACACAATTAGGGCCATTGAGCCATGCAGAAAATAAGATGCAACTGAATAGCAGCAGTATCTTTGAAGACATCACCGAACGAATGCAGTGAAATGCCTGAAGACTTGGCAGAACTTGGCACCGTCTGCAGAAATTACTAGCTTTGCTTTTTCTTCCCCTCCTCCCATTTTATTGCTGTCTATTAGCGCAGTGTTTTGTACGGTACCCTGTAGGCACAAATTATTGCCCTAATCAGGACTATAAAACACTGACAACTTCAAATATGTTGGGCAAGGATCTGGCACTCTGCCTGGTTCTTTTCAGCAACTTACTTGCCCTTAATTCCTTTCAACTAGACTTCTGTCGTCATGGGCTGCCTGGCTTATGGAGAAAGCTCTGGGCTAGGTGTATCCCAGATATCGCTGCTCGGCTTGACCTAAATAGCGCTTGGCACGCTCTATCAGAGTTAGCAAAAGTTAGCAAAAAGCAGAAACTGTGTTGCTATAAACACCTCGGCCCAACAAACAGAACGCGGGGGGTGGGAAACACATTGGCTAGGCGTGTAAACATGATGAGTTGCAGACCAACTCCCAAGAAGAGGCAGAGAGCAAAAACTGGATCACAAAGTTATCTGACAACATTTCAATTGGGCCTCACTTCTGATTAAACATTTCCCCTCGGGACAGGGACAGCCCGGCAGAGTGACATGGGTGCCTCAAGCAATAGATTTTGGGTACCTTTTGAAAGTGGTAAATTGTTATTTATTTCTCTTGCATGTCGAGGAAAAAACACAATTTGCAGCATTCAACCTCAGGTGCTAAACTGTAGTCCGCTAGTTTTGTCTAAGGCAGTGGTTCTCAAAGGGTGTGGGGCTGGAGAGGATAGCAAATGTGGTAAGAACAGTGATTTCCCCCTAGGGGTACGCAGGGGTACGCTTACCCCTAAACATTTTGTGAATCAAAGTTTGGCCTCATTGAGAGGCAGTATTTCAATGTGAGTAGGAAAGTGTGAGTACCCCTAAACATTTTTTTAGAAAAAAAGCACTGGGTAAGAAGATTCAAGGACAATGAAAGAAACATTTAAACATTTCAGGAGAATTAAATATTTTTGAATGTTAAAATAAGTAAATGAAAAGAAGGTTAGAAGGATTTGCTGGAGATACGATTTGAATTAGAATACAAAGCAGAGAAGTGAGAGGAAGTCACGGAAATAAGTAAATGGGAAAACGGTTCTAATGGTTTAAGCTGAATTTTTCTTTTGTTATTTTTTATTGTGATTTTTTGTCTTGTGTATTTTTCTTGGTATTGTGTGTTTTTCTTGTAGGATGTATGTGATTTGTTTTTCTTTTTTTTTACTTTTTTCTTTTTCTGTAATCTTAAAATTTGAATAAATATTTTTTTTTAAAAAAAGAAACATTTAAACATTTCAGTGCAGTATAGTATAGTATCTATATATCATCTATATCTATTTTTCTATCTATCTATCTATCTATCTATCTATCATCTATCATGTATCTATCTCTCATCTGCCATCATCTATCTATCTATCTATCTATCTATCTATCTATCTATCTATCATCTATCATGTATCTATCTGTCATCTGTCATCATCTATCTATCCATCATCTATCTATCTATCTATCTATCTATCTATCTATCATCTATCTATATCTATCTATCTATCTATCATCTATCTATCTATCGATCAATCATCTATCTATCTATATTAAAATACAACCAGAAACAGTATCCACACCCCATTCATTTCAATTTAATGGAAGCACAATGCAAATTTGGGGTGAGGGAAACATAATCAATCATGTGTCATTCGCAGACTGAAAACAACAGCATTAAAAAAAAGAAAACAATTGTGTTTGTTGGATTGATTTCCATTCCTGACATTACGAATAGGCAAAAATCCACTCAAGTTTCTTTTTATATTGAATTCTTCAAAAATCTCTTCAAAAACATGGCCCTAGCTTTTTCAGGATGTGCAGCTCTGAACCCAATCTTAAATTTTGAGGGTTTCTCCCTCCCTATACTTGAAGTATAGAATGCATTGAGCTGGCCTTCAGGAAATGTAAAAACAGGCAGAGCGTTATCTATTTCAGTGCACTCTTAAATATCTCAGATTAGATCAGATTCCGATTTTCATCTAGTGTACAGTTGAATCTATTTATATTCAAATAACTGAGTTGGGTTTCCTTCCCTGAATTTTTTGCCGTGTAGGGGTAGAATTATGAAAAACTGAAGGATTTTAGGGGAAAACCTTTCAGAATGTTCAGCTTCATTTGATCCATGGTTTTGTGAAGTGAAAACTGAAGTATAGCCTAGCTGTAATTGTGGATAATTTTGGCATTTTTTGTACTCTGCATTCATACAAT